ACATATTTCTCCAACAAATTTACCTTTATCATTCTCTTAAATATACATTTGTTTTCTGCAGCAGGAGGGTTAAAGTTATCAGATATCTCAAATGTAGGTTACATTTATTTAATTTGTAAGCAGCAAACATATCTAAAATTGTCATTGTTGAAATATTCTAGCATTTCCAGACTCACTGAGCAACTGGTCTTCAAATAAAATTCGATTTATAGATTATACCTTCCCAAAGTGTCCTCTTCCCAACACAGCYATCAGCTTGAAGTCCTGAACGGACAGAGGACCTTTCTTCTGTCTGATGGAAAGCAAAAATCAAACGTAACACAGAAATATGTCAAAAACATTTTAAAAACTGGAGTTTTAAACCAAACTGAGTCAAATTTTTATTCACAGATCACAAAATGTTTGCTACAGGGAGAAAAAAACTAAAACATGAGCACACAGCTTGTAAAATAATGTGTCAAATAATTAATTTCCAACCCGTCTGTTGATCTGTGTGTGTACCTGTTGATAGGTGGGGTTTGGACAGGGGAGTCAGGGGTGAGGTCTTGGGAGGAGGGGGGCTCGACGACTGGCAGCAGGTCCTTTTGGACAGGAAGGAAAAGACACGATGAGGTGAGACGACACAGAAAGGAAAGGAGACTGTGCTGCCTTAAATATGACTAAAACTTTCAAAATAAAACGAAACAAATGRGACTGTAGCTGTGTTCAGACCAGCTGTTGGTCAGAATTAAACTATTTCTCCAAACGGAGCTCATTCAAACACGCATCTAAACCAGGTAATATATTTATTGTTTATAATAATAATAATAACAATAATAATAATAATAATAATATAAAATGAACTGAAACCACTAATTTCAGTCAACTTCTCTTTACTTTATTCTGCCTTTTTATGTTTTCATCATTTAAAGCACTTAGTTACTGAAATGTGCAACATAAATAAACTTGACTTGCCTTTAACAATAAGACCTGAACTCTTAGAAAACGAGGTGATCAAAGTAACAAACATCAGTCAATTAATCTTAATCTGTCACGCAATTTGACGTTGACAAAGAGAAAAGCCTCTTTTCATATTGTGCGTCATTTTTAATTAATAAAACCTAAAAAAGTTCAACACAGCTGGTCATCACACACCTCCCCTATTTCCCCTCTCTCTGTCTGCCTCACCGAAGTGTTTGTGTCCGTGTCTCTCTTGTAATCTCCTCTCATGGGAGAGTCGTTGTCCAGACTCAACTTCTCCACTGAGATCTCCCTGAAAACATTTCACACAGACACACACACGAACAGGCCGACAGGAAAAACAACACAACAGGAGAGTTAGAGGAGGGGCAGGGGAAGCGTCGTGTGCTTTTATTCTTTACCAGGAAACACAAGGAGAAAGGTCAGAGGAGGGTTGGAGTGCGAGCTGCAGATAAAGAGCAGTTCTCTGAACAGCGTGTCCAGCTGTGAGACAACATGCGCAGTATGTCTCACCCAGAGTTTAGAGCTAYGCTGTGTGCGTTCGGGCTGTAGTTTCCAGAGTTGTTCACGGTGGGGATGGCGTTTCGGAGCAACCTCACCCACGTCCCGATGTCCACGTTCATCTGCCGGGCTCTAAGGAACGCCTTGCCTGGAAGAACAAATGTGTGGTTTTTAAAGCTGCTGAAATCTTTTTTTTAAGTTGGTTTTGTGAGAAAATCTGTTCCCTAAAAGACAATCAAGATCTTATAAGTTTCTCCTTAAATTAACCAGAAAAAATAATAAATTTTCATATGTTCACAAGGA